ACTGAAATTTTCGAAGGCCCATTGGTCAATTCTTGGAATCGCCTCGATTCTCGGAAATTTCGTCATTTCTCGGAAATGACGAAAATTCCAGGAATTCTCGAGGACTGAAATTTTCGAAGGCCCATTGGTCAATTCTTGGAATCGCCTCGATTCTCGGAAATTTCGTCATTTCTCGGAAATGACGAAAATTCCAGGAATTCTCGAGGACTGAAATTTTCGAAGGCCCATTGGTCAATTCTTGGAATCGCCTCGATTCTCGGAAATTTCGTCATTTCTCGGAAATGACGAAAATTCCAGGAATTCTCGAGAACTGAAATTTTTGAAAGCACATTGTTGCAAACGCGATTTCTCGAAAAACGCACATTGTTGCAAACGGCGAGAAATTCGATTTGCAACAATGTGAATTTTCGGCCGTCGTGCAACAATGTGCGCTCAGATCGACGCACAATGTTGCAAACGGGTAACACGTTTGCAACAATGTGCATTTTTCGGGAAATCGCATTTGCAACAATGTGCGTTTTTCGAGGAATTTCGTTTGCAACAATGTGCGTCGAAATTACGAAAATTTGTTGCAAACGGCGAGAAATTCGATTTGCAACAATGTGAATTTTCGGCCGTCGTGCAACAATGTGCGCTCAGGACGACGCACAATGTTGCAAACGGGTAACGCGTTTGCAACAATGTGCGTTTTTCGAGTAATCGCGTTTGCAACAATGTGAATTTTCGGCCGTCGTGCAACAATGTGCGCTCAGAACGACGCACAATGTTGCAAACGGGTAACACGTTTGCAACAATGTGCGCCGTCAATAATAATGTTTCCAACAATGTTGCCAGCGAAAATACCGCTTACAACAGTGTTTGCATTAATGGATAATGCTTCTGACAATGTTGGGATTAGAAAATAATGCTTAAAGCAATGATTTCGCATCGATACGAGATGCTTCTAACAATGTTACAAGCAAGAATACTGCTTGCAACTGCGTTTGCATTCAACTGTCAAAGATGAACACTGGTAATAAAAGTATCTTACTACTTAATATGATTTTTCAACGATAGAACAGCACTTCCAGGAAGTGACCTCCTATCACATCATGTTCGCCTATTCTTTGAAGTTTGTGCTGTTAATAATAATTATTGTAAATTAGAACGTAATTGCATGTAATAAGTAGTTTAAAGTTGATACTTATAATAAATTTTTAATTGCTTTAACATTACTAATAACGTAGAGAGTAAATTAAACTTTCTGCTTTATTTTCAAGTACTTTAGTTATAGAATAATTAGTGTTTCTTGTTAAATAACAATTTAGATTGTAGTTTATAATTATTAGAAGTGCTAAATTTATCTGTTGCACGATTTACCTTTATAAAATATCTTAATTTATTAATTTCACATTGAATTAACAATTGTATGCAGTAGATTAGTTAGAAATTGTTTATAGAAAACTTTTGTAGAAAATTGAAAATATATGTTCTTTTTGTGCGAATTACAGATGGAACATTCAGACCACCGCAGGAATCGAGGAAAGTACTTCAACATCAGGAACAATGAAGAAATGCAATTATTTACGAAAAAATGAAATATGTATTGTAAGATAACTGTACAAAATGTATTTTGCAAAAAGTTAGAATACACCAGTATTGTTTTACAGCATTTTACAGTCTATTTATTTATCCCTTACACACCAAATCCACTTCCTTTTGCGAAACACTCATTATTTAAATAATATTCCATTAAAAAGTGAAGTATACTAAGTCGGGTTAGAGTTAGGAACGCGTGCAAATCGAAAAAATCGTGAAAACCGCGAAATTCGAGCGAAGAACTGAGAAATTTGCGCGGAAATAGCTTAGGGACACTGAAAAATATCGAATTCCTAAAAAATTATTGACTTGCACTACTTGCTAATCGCGACAAATTTCGAGCCTCTGAGATATGGTTGACTTTACTACTAACAAATTTCGATGTCTGCCTTGTGGTTGACTCCCTGATTTTCGTCCAATTTTTGAAATTTCTGAACTATCCTGCGAATTAAGGAGTTAAGGAAAGGATTTCAATATCAGGAAAAATGAAAAAATACAGTTATTTATTATAAAATAACTAGAAAATGTATTTTACAAAAGGTTACAATATATCAGTATTGTTTTATAGCATTTTACAATGTCTTCATTTCTCCCTTACACACCACACCCATTTCTCATTGTGTAACATTCATTCGGAAATATTCCATTACAAAATTAAATAAACGCAGCTAGAATATAATTAAGAACGCGTAACAATCAAAATATTCGAAAAAATCGAGGAATTCAACCTAATATACATATTGTATTATACATTTAGAAGTATAGAATTCTATACTGCGTGCACGCTTATATATCCTATCCTATACCTTATTTATAATTTCATAGTTACGTTTAGTTCTAATTCCAACCACCATTACCGTTGTAATCTTGTGCCACGCTGAATCGGTAACGTTGGAAACGACACAAAATTGGTAAGGGCACTCTCAGCCCTCGTGACGTGGACACAAAAATCCATTAGATGTTCGATCTATCCTACATCTCATCTGTGGTGTTAGGTCTGTATATCCTG